TATATAATAACGCAGTTTTTTTATATTTACTAAAAACTATTTCCTTTGTATATATCTCTTGTTTTGTTGCATTAGTAGCAAACATAATAGTGTTATGAGTCTCGATTAATAGGTCAAATTAGCCTGATCAATTGCCTGGTGACGCAACTGTGTTCATAAAATGTCCTTTTTTCACCAATAGCTCATTAGTTAAATGAATATTTATGCTATTGAAGTATTAAATCCAATCTTCAACTCTTGCCTCTTTTGCCGGCTCATCTTCCGCATCATGCGTACACACAAATCTAATAAATTTCTGTTAGCAAAAACACATATACAGCTACCGTTTTGCAGACGACTCACTTGCGATAACAACTTCACAACGGAGAAAAGGTTCTCACAAAAATTAACTTGATCTCCCTTCACCCTCTGAATTCAGCACCTTTCTTCTGTAAGATTTCTCTAAAGTGTTTATTTAAAAACAAACTAGCTACGAACACTTTAGCCAATCAGTTACACAACACATTTAAAATCACAATGCAAAAAAGGTTGCCAGACCAATAGAATCAAGGCGGGACTCTGGAGTACCTGCTCCCGGCGAGGTTACGGCAGAATCTACTCATTTGAATGTCGACAACTTTAAGCAGTAGCTTCGTCAAAGAAGTGGATATTTAAAATGACTGTATCTGGCCAAACCTGTACAAGTCAATATAAATGTCATTGCACGCCCACCTGCAAAGTCGAAACAACTCGTTCTGGTACTTGTTGACTTATTCAGTACCTCTGTTCGGTCAGATATTGGCTAAAGTATGAGAACTCACCAGCTAAAATGTCCCATGAATAAAATACAATTTCACCATTTGAATACGACATGGCCAATTTTTGCTCTGGCAATATTTAGATAATGTCTTTCTATAAAATCGAGATAACTCGATCGATAATCGAGAGAAAATGTATTGAAACATCGTTTTTGATGAACTTCCAGACATTCTGACGTGTTCGAAGCTTTCCTACGCATCGATAATCCTCCAGCAACATGCGACGTCGAGAAAGTCAGCGCCACTCTTGAGTTAGGAGACATTATTTCGAGGCATATTCGAAAGGAAGGGGTGAGTCTCTCTACAAGCATGCTGTACTAGAAAGGAGAAAACAAACAGTTGAGATTACTAGATTTGCTGCGACGCAGTCACCTTGTGGTGGTCAGATCAGAGGGTAGGGGGTTAGGGTTTCTATCGGATCGATTGTCTCCTCGGAAAAAGTAGTTCGCGCCCTTTGAAAAGTAGCTTCTGTTCACTGACAGAAATGGCAGCGGGTGTATGCATACGTCCGGCCGAAACTTGTTTGACTATTAATAATCGCTTTAGCTATAACTCGAACAGTGTGGTCAGTACTGGCCAAGCTAAGTGGCAAAATCTTCTGCTGTAAACGAGTCGATCATTTGAGACCATGGGCCGCTGAACGTAAGCTAGTGAGAGAAGGGCATAGCAATTGCGTATCGGACCGAAATTGTGCAATACTTTTTTTTCCGAGTTCGTATAGATGAGTTACTGACGTTTTGTCATCCTTGCTTACAATAAATTAGACAAAATGTCCTTTTCGTAGCATTTCCTAACTACACTGAACAATGTTAAGGCTGCCATTGGCGTCCTACATATAAATTTTAATCTACATTGAATTGAGCATATAATATGACTGATTCATTGTTACAGTCGGTCCAATGTGATATTGTATTATAGATTTCTCGTTTAGACCGCTCTCCTCGATAGCCCGATGCATTTCAACGGCAATCATTTTTCCATCTATCAGACGTTGAACAAACGCGAAGAACAATGGATAGATGGGCTCAGATAAACTATTCATACCTATAACATGTACGCTGATAGAATGATGAACGTTTATTGTATAGATGATGAAGCCTTACTCAGATGGATAGTGGGGACTGAGCCTTAGCAAAATAACACTGAACAATGTTTTTTGGTCAATTTTGGTTTGGATACTCTGAGAGACCATTGATGTAGCATAGGGCGTTTCGATATAGACGGACCGCCTGTGGGGTAAAATGAACGAATCATCCACAACGAAGCTAAATACTGATGTCGTAACCCCTGTTGTTTTAAACAAAATTGTTTAGACAATTGTTCTATTAATCGATAAGAAATAACCGCCATTACGAAGGAAGAAAACAATTTCATGATAAACAATATTTTTATTTAGTCATGCATTTCAAGCCCCCAGTTTCAAGAAGGTGAGCTGAAAATTGAAAAAAACAACGCTAAATAACTTTATTGCTAATTGGATAGTTCTAAATAGACACTTATTATACCCGTTACTGCTTAGCGCAAGTATGATTACGGCATCAATCTAAAGTTAGGTGTAGATTTTTGGCCGTGTGCCGTTTTTTTAATTTAACATAAAAAAAATAACAATAATACTTATACACTATTAAGCCTAAAGGAGAATGTTAGTACTTTTACAAAAACCACGGCACTGATTTGGTCTGTTCACTCGACCTCAGACGATAGCTGACGATGCACTACTAGTTGCCTATATAACAGCCTGTGTAATGTACGAGCCACCCTGTATCAGCCAAAAAAGCAGAACTTAATTTAAAAATGAATCAAACCTTTTTTTTTTTTTGAACAATTACTGATTTATACTTAAACACTGAAAACGATCATGTCGGCAGTTTGAAAGTAACCACATTTATATCGTTGTCATGCATTGCAAACTCGACCCTTCTCTCGACTGACATTGTCCACCTTAGCGCTATTAATTAGTTGAAAAAGCCTAATAATCTATTTGGTAAGCTTGAGCTTGTTTACTTCCAACAACTGCAATAAATTCACGTGGCAATCTACCAATGTAATAACTTATGTAATGAAGTTAATTGATACGAACTTAATTAATCAACTCTCAAGTAGAAACATTCACTGAATCCATGATTAGCGTCAATCGTCACTATGTGTGCGTCTATATTCGTTCTCTTTCTTAGGACAGGATACTTGCCACTTTACCACTAACCCAGCAGAAGGCTCATAAAACGCATTACTAACTTGCACCATAGTAGCTTTTGCGTGTTGGCCGCCGTTAGCAACTTACCAAAAATACAGATTCTTTAACGCTCACGGGCTAGCTACAACAGTTTTCCCTTTGTAAACGTACATGCTTAGAGCGGAACTAGGCAGAAATCCGAATGGACATATATGAAAATAGATGAAGCTTATGTCTCGAACGCTCGAACCCACTGTTTAGCACGAGCTTGAAGTATTGTTAAATTTACCAACTAAAGTTGACACGTCTCACGCCTATAGAACAAAAAAGATCCCGTAGAGATCACTGAAAATATCTTGCCAATCACGTCTTCTTTACCACACGTGGTCAAAGAAGCAGCTTGACACCGGTGATTGGCCTAGCGAAATAAGTGCAAGTGACTTGAATTTCCACCAATATCAATCTCGTGATGTATATTCATATAGCAAAGGAAAGTACGAGAAAGAAAGACCAAGCTACAAATATACGATTGGCCGGATCCTCGTCGGGGATAAGAAGCGCGTCGTCTGCAAACATTCCAGAGGCAATTACAAAATAATCCGACAAAGAGTTGGTGAACGAACTTACTCTTGATGAAGGACATTTCGGCGTATGCCGGTTTTTGTGGGCGCAGGACGAAATCGATAGGCCAAGCTGTAGCACGTAACTGATGTTGAGTGAACAACAGGTAGACCCTACTGAGCAATGTAAACAGTCGCTTACATGTGATTTATAGTTCACTAGAGAATGGGATACGACCGTTGGCAGGGCGGTATTCGTCGCTTGAACAAATGTGCAGCGTCTCAGCATAGCGCGTAGACAAAGGCTGACTGTCTGACTGAGTCGATAGGCCCCGACGATCGTCGGTGACCGCTGATTTCCCCGCGCTCAATATGGTTCCCTCAGTGGCCGTCGCTCCGGTAGAATAAGAACCACTCACGATTCTGTAGTAATGTATGGCTGGTCAACCAGATACTGCAAGCCTTCTATATTTAGCTTTAGCTAAATAAGCACAGATCAGCTATGGCCGTCTGATCTGTGCCTACTGAAGCCCCACATAATGGCATACGGGATTACAACAACAAACCAAAGAAAACGTCTGTGTATCATCAGGAGACGAACAGGTTGTTACAGGCCGTACGTGCCGAGTTCTTTTCTACGTGGACTTGTGCACACGCGTTATATGCGGCGTCGAGTTCAAGCTTTTAGGGATTGTTTGGGTCCGCCATCAAGGTGTAGTTAAAAAAGCAGCGTTTATCTGCTTCATGCTAAAGACTTATGGAGGTTGGGTGGCGACATGCCAAGCATGCGCACCTTACGGATTTTTTTGTAGCATCCAGAAGTTGAAATTCATAAGGTACTACAGGCTGACAATTGGCGAAGGTTCAAATTCTACGACTTAGGCTCGCTTTCCGACCTTAGCAGCGGCGGCGGGGGATATCATGTGTCATGGTTAACCTGATTACGCTATATAGAGAATACCTTAGAGTAAGTTAGTTAAAAAAAAGTTTCTCACTGAGCTGGGTCATGTCGACATACATAAACGCTTTAAAAACGCCACGATATTTATAAGAGTAGCTGTTAAACTATTTGATTCAAGTGGTTACATTTCCACTATTTATAGGCACTAATTTCACAAGTCAGTCTATCTCGAATATAGGCCGGTCGGCCATCGATCTACCCGGCGATCGCAGCAATATCGCTAACGTTAAATCTCCGTCAAGAATGCCATTAGGTTTTACAGATCACCGGAAAAATTTGTAGTATTCGCGCTTCTGTGCCCGTCATAAACGGAACGAATTTTCAGATAATTTGATGTGTCCTGAATCGTTTTAACAGTCTGATTGAATAGGCGAAGGCGTGAATGGAAGCCATTCTTACTGTACGGAATTATTGTTGTGTGTGTCCGACGGTTCGAGCTATATTGAGAGCGGTATATGGATAGCCGCGTACAACATTGACGATGAATGGTATTGGTCTGTCTGTGGCCTTGGATTGTATGTTGAACACAAGTGCTTCGCAGAAGAAGTCATTGATTAATTTCGTTGCAGAAATTTTATTGTACTTAGAGAGTATTTTCTTCGAACGGGTCGTGTGGACCTTTTTTTTTTAAGATTTTGCCCCAAAAAGTTATAGGAGTGATAACCGATTCGGACAGAGTCAATTTCCGATATTTGAGTAGCACATTCAAACATATTGCAAACCATCGCCATCACGCTCACGAAGGAGGTACCAGAGGAACAGCTCGCGAATCTATACAATATGTTCTTCTGGCGTCCTTGGGGGGCATCCAGAGCGAAACTGCACAATTGTATACGAAATAATTAATCTATCATTATTTGTTTTCGTTGGTCTAGCTAAGATCTAGTTGGCTATAGCAAACACGGTATTCATTGATACCATTATTGATGGCAATATAATAGAAGTATAAGGTCCTTGGAGATTAGTGTTTATCTTGCAGGGTGCTCGCCTACATACAGGCTTTGCATTCGCAACGAGAAATAGAAAGCTTCTCCTACGAAGCCCATAAGCAAGACAGACCTTGTAATAGAGTTAAACAGTACGCTTTCGGAAGCCCTATGCTCTGGCCTTCTTTTTATTAGAATGAAAACATAAATATGTTGTTGAGGCTAAGTAAATTAATGACAGACATACTGGAATAAATGCTAGGCTGTACTTTACTTTAGATTGAAGTGAGTAATTAAACGGGATTATATGAACGTTTAATTTATATTTGATTTTCCTTTTTGCGTATACTTGCTAATACGCCATTTTACCTATGTTTGACTTCTTTCATTTCTATCTTTCAATATAGTTATAACTGATTGCAGCTATAAAATACAGTAGAACACAAAGTCGTATGTTAAAAATGTTAAATATAATTGTAAGGGCTTTCAACAAATCCCTTTCCTCGGCTAGCTATCGTACCCATCGGCTTGATATGCCCTTCAGTGACGCGTTATCACCTCAGTACTATATTTCAAATAATAGTCCTCTCTTCGACCTGACTCAATGCCAGCCTCGTTAATACCGTTGTTTATTGATACCCTTTAGCTTCTTGCAAACAGGTCGCACCTAG